TTTATACCTACCTATATTGTTTAGTATAGAATTCATTCCTTTTGACATACACTGTATGATGTTTGTTTCCATAAAATTTTGTTCATTCTTCCCGTTCCCAATATCCTTGTCTATTGTATATTAAGGTCTACAGAAATTATATTTTTAACTCTATTATATATCATGAAACACGCAACCCTATATTTACGGAAAAGAAGAAGATTTTAGCGACCCCTAACGGTTTTACTAGGTAATAAAATAATCGATATTTTTACATTCTTCTTGAATTCTATGTTTTTTAAACTAATAATTAATAAATGGAGAAATATCTATAGTATCTCTATTAATTTAGAAGAATTTTCATCTAGATATGCTTGGACGAATATTGGTTGTGACAGTGGGTGCGCTTATAGTAGTAGAATTGATATTGTTTGCATCGATGATGGTTGATATAGTGCAAGGATATGCAAGATAAACTTGTTTTATGGACTATAAAAGTGTTTATTGTATTTCAAATGACCATTAGTTACTACTACGTTTAGTTTATTTAGGGTACATATATTATATTATTGAATATCTAAGTGCCTGAAACTGAATATAAGTCCTTAAACCTTAGGATATAGGTAATCAGATACTAGGTTGCATAATGAATCTGAAAGGCTTATATTCTATTCCCAAAATGTAATATTTACTAATTATAATTAAAATGGGTGTCCTACATAATTAATATTGCATAAAACAATCATAAACCAATATTAATTAAAAAAAATATGCTTAGTATTTGGCTATTGTTTTTTATGTTATACCTTTTACCAAATGTTTGTCTACCTTCGTTTTTAAATAATATACCATCAAAAACTTTGTTGAATATCTTAAAATCAAAATAAAGGGGGCATTTTAGCATTGTATGAAGATAATTCATACAACGATTTTAGTATTTTGATATTTCAGAATTACCAGACAGAAAATTGTAATATAATATTTGTTAGTTTTTCTAGTCTGTGATAGGTGGCAGAAAAATTTAGTTTTTTAATTTCTGATAGATGGCAGAAAAATTTAGTGTTTTAAATAGCAGTTTCCTTCGTATACTAGTCTTAATTTTTGCATTACACAAAAGAGAACGCCACCTGGGGTGCGTTCAGAAATCGAAAGCGTAAAATTTTCAATCGTCCGGACAAAATTCACTCACTTATATTTAAATATTTTTAACTCGAAAAATAAAAATAAATTAAATACGAGGTGGTTCTCTTAGGTTAATTAGGGTTATGACATACTGCGCAAGTCGAGTAAAAATTACACTACTCAACACGGTGGGTAAAATTTCTTCATCCCGACGTGTTTTTCTTTTAAATAAAAACGGCTGGAGTAATTCGTCCAGATAAAACGTTCCTCATTTAGGAACGCGTTTTAGAGTTTAGACAACGTCCGGACGCGTTTACCTAGTAATCTATGCGTTTACCCTACATTTCTGAACGCACCCCTGATAAAGTTACCCTTTTTTGACGAATGTGAATGTTGTCGCACGAGCCGTAGGCGCGTGCGACAATCATATGAGTCAAAAAAGGGACTTTACACACGAGTGGCATACAATATTTTTTCTACTACCGTACACATAATCCACTAATATTAGAAATATAAAACTTACTTACTTTACGCACTAGTGAAAAAAAGTAAAATGTGCCAAAAATTGTACACAGCAACAAAAATAAATTTATTGGAACTTTACAAATTTATAATTCTTACAGAACAAAATGACTAACAAATGAAGAAATATTTAAAAAAATAGGTTTTTAACTCTTATGAATATTAATATTGAATGTGCAATTATTGCAATTACCAAAACTTAAGGTTTTGGCCTTTTCCAGCACAGAGTTTGAAAAATATTGTGATATTACTTCTGTAACCCTATTTTGAGCTTCGAGTGGTATGGATTTGGCCTTTTCAAGTAAATAGGTTGAAATATTTTGTGTAATTCTAGTTTCACTGTCGAGTGGTTCCACTAATTCTTCATTAGAGTTGTCAACGGTAAAATTGTAGCTTTGTTTGGAAGTGGATGGCATACTGTCATCCATCAAAATTTTATTAGAAATTTTGTTTTTTTGTGTTATTGTGCTGTCTACGTATCCTTCTGCAACAGCAGATGATTTCCATCCTCCATGTTTTTTGACCGTTGGAAGGTCTCCTCCAGAATTTGCCAGCATAGTGGCTGAAGACCTCCTAAAGCAGTGTCCTGTAAAAGCCGTTGGATTTGGCAAGTTTAGATACGTTGCTATAACACTTGGCATTTTACCAAAAGTATTTATCCCTACAGGCTGTTTAGAATATTTTCCATTTGCGAATTTTAAAAAAAATCTGTTACAATTTATATTTGATGGTCTTAATGAGGTATATTTTTTCATGAAAGATATATAATCAACTGCAGAATTATTTGGATTTAAAATCGTAAAAATGCGTTCTATTCCATTTTTGGTTTCTGATACTTTGACAATATACACTGTTTGTTTATCTTCCACATCGTTAATTGTCATTTTACATAATTCTTCCCGGCGACAAGCTCCTGCAATTCCAATTATAAAAGCTACCTAAAAATAACATATTGTAATGTTACAAATAATTTATTAAACATTAGGAAATATCTTGACGTTGCGCATGTAAAACTCCAAATAAATGCTATTGTAAAAAATATAAAAGTTTTAGGTATAATGTGCTGCCTAACAACCCCGGTGGCCTGTTAGGACAGCAACTGATTTTGTTAGGCAACACACCATACGAACACACATCTCGTTGAAAAACTTTACAGAATATTTTAATTTTATACTGAGCATTCAAGCATTTACTGAGGCATTTACTTACTTTGATCATTAAAAACTTGGAATCTGGAGCTTTCAACAGAAAATTAATTAGATCTTCTCGTTTAAAAATTTTGGATTTTTTTGGTTTATAACCTTTATTTTTTTGTTTGAGAAACGCTATTAACTTGTTGAATTTCGAAATATCAACGTTGTTTTTATATTTTAAGGTGCTTTTAAGCATATAATAAATCGACCATAGGGTAGAAGCTTTGCAATTCTTCAATTCATCAGAGAAATATGCTAAAATAACGTTTTCCGAATATTTTGTCACCTTATTCTTCCTACACCATTTTATAAATGCAGTGTATTTTGGCTGATAAATATATGCAGATTTTTCTGGCAATAAATTTTCAGTGGTCTTTTGTGCACTGCATAAGATATCTGGGGGAGTATTATCAAATTCGCTATCGCTAGATAAATTTGAATCCATATCGATTATGACAGATATAATAAACTGCAAATAAAATTTGAATTTAAGTAAACAATAAAAAGTAAAACTTTTTACCTTCTCAAACTTGATTGAGTTTAAAAAAACGCTAAATTCGCTTTAGAATCTAATCTTGAACTTAAGTATACTTTTGTCGTGTTCTGTTATAAGATAGGTACTAATTAAAAGTTTAGAGATTGACAGTTCTTCTAATCCACACAGCCACAGCCAACTTACTTTTACCAAAATCGACATCCACTGTATGTTTACTTTTAATTAAATCGATGACATTTAGAGAAAATTATAATTAAAATAAACTGTTGATAATTTGTTGGACACTAAATAGATATAAGCAAAAATAATTTATTTATTTGTCTTAGAAGGAGATAGCAAAAAAATGTTAATATAAAATAAAACGTTATATTTTGTTGTTATGTACAAATTTTGTAAAATTTTACTTTTTTTAACTAGTGCGTAAAGAGTTTTACTTTACGCACTAGTGAAAAAAAGTACAACTTTACACAATTCGTGGAGTGCGTAAAGTACGTACTTTACGCACGGTAGTAGAAAAACGAATTTATTTTTAACATTAAATATAGGTACTCGTATAAATAAAAATATCACTCGAGCTTGTTAACTTTTCATTTGCAACATTTTTAAATTAAGAAAGTAGCGTATAAAAAAGTAAAAAATAACACTCTTGAAAAATACAAACTTCTGGACAGAATTATCAGTTTACATTCACATGTTTTCTTCATCTAAATAATTTTTATAAGTGTATTCATTATAATTTAAAGTCTCTCGACTTGCACGCCAAGACACAGAACCACCTTTTACCAACTTCATTGCATCTTTTACATTTAAGATTGCCGAACATGTTTTTACTAACAGTCTAGACGTTTTAATTAGATTTAATTCTGAAAATACCCTCTCTGGTGTGGTTGATGAGTGGGGTAGTGACAGTATTATTTTTACTACTTCAAGAAGATTGGGAAACATAAATTCATCTAGTGCATTTTTAGCTTCAGAGACTTTTTCCCAAAAAAAATCTAAAGAACAAGAGTCAATATTACTTATCCCCAAATCAGTCTTACTTAGCATTTGCCATTCCGTGTTTACAGCTTTTAAATCCAAATCAAAACTGAAAAAGAAGCAATTGATTTTATTTCACCAGACATAACTGTTTTAATACAAAAATTAGCAGCATATTTCAAATGTTGATCTTTAAAGTTGAAGCGTTGTTTAATCTGATTTGCTAATTCAATAAAAACACTAAACTCTAAAACTGTGAAGATCCTCTTTTAGTATCTTATCAAGATTCTGCGTGATGAAAATATCAGATTTTGCACCGATATACAAATTCTCAATCAGTACATAATGGGAAGGATTGTGTATATAGATCTCTTGAACCGAATTAAATTTATTTCTGTCATCTTTTTCTATAAAACATTTTAAAATAGGGTTCTTGTAATTCTTCTTGTCTTTTATTGCTATTTGAAAAATAGCAATAGTAGGGCCAGTCTTCCTATACCGATGGGCGATTTAAAACAAAAAGCGGAGTATAAATCGATGACAAAGTAAACCTTTTCCAAACTAGGCACAAGTACTCGATTTAATTTAATTTTCACGAAGAAATGAGATATTTATTTGAAATAGGAAATCCTGATCTGATTAAAAACTACATTTTACAACAAAAAAGAAGAAATATATTACAATATAATATATATTTATAATAATTAAAAGGTATTGATAATAAGTAACTATCTAGATACATTATGAAAAAAAGTTAGATGTGTTTGTTTGGTCACAAATTTTGTGCATTTATTATTCACTAATAACGACAGTAGCATATACGTAAATCTTTGTTTTATTATGCAACTTTTTATAAAATATTTACGATATATCTAATAAGTGCTGCAGAGTAACAGATGGTATTGCAGTTTCTTGGGTTTTGTTCATCCAAGGCATTTTCCCTTGAAAAATGGACATATTTAAACGATGTTTTGATTCCAAGTGATCATTCTGAAATTACAAAAATTAATTTATATTTGAAAATGGTTTCTATATATTTTTAGTAATTTTTTCTTACATTAATTAAGTTGGTGTCGTATTCTTTGGCTTTGTTCTTCAATTCAGTTCTCAAATGCCATTCTTGAAGATATATGTGGATTTTTTTTAGAGGTTTGCCTTTTCTTATCAACTGCCATCTAAAATACAACATCGATTTTCTTATTTAATTTGATAATTATCCATGAAAAAGAAAAAAAAAAATAAAGAGATTAATGAAAACAATTATATCGGATCTTAGGAAAAATCCGCCAGCGGCCGACCGGCTATTTTTTTTAAGACCATTTTAGACCCTCTGCAACACATTTTAAAATACTTTTTTGTCCTGCAAACGCTTTAATAGCTATTTGTGTATTAAGAGCGGAAAGTGCTACTTTGCCGCTTACGACAAAAGTTGCCGCGCGACGTGCAGCGGAGTGCGGCATTTTATCGTAAGCGGCAAATAGATTTCCGCTCAAATTACACACAAGATTTTTCTACGATCACACGATATTAAAAGTATATAGTTTTATTTTGCCGAATTCAAATCTTACTACGTTAATTTGACAGACACGGCTAACTTGACTAGCAAACGAAAAGTATGTTGTGTATATTGTGTTGCCTGCTTACTCTAGGATTAATTCTATGATACGCATAAAAAATATTTGTTAGTACATCTTAAAAATAACTTACAAGATCATCGGTTAGAATACTCAAATCGCAAATTAATGGCTCACACACTCTTATTTAATTTTAGAAACAAAAAAATCAAATTAAAAAAATAACTGGTGAGCATTGAACTCACGACCATCAGGTTCAAAGACAAACGCGCTACTCTCTACACCAACAAGATATGTTAAATATGAGTGTTAAAAACAGGGTAATTTATTTTTAATATTTTAATTATCATTTAAATATTAAGGAAAATGAGTATTAAATGTTCAACTAAAAGATTCAGGTTAGTCTACATTTTCTTTTAAAATACCGATTAGCTTTATATTAACAACCTTTCTAATTAAATTTTCTAATGAAAATAGGCATATGCAAAAAGTAACCTTCCGCCTATATGCAACAATAATGTCAAACTATGACAATTCATGGAAAACGTCAACTTTTCAGTTAGATTTGAATGTGCAAAAGCCTACTTTGGATAGTGATCGTAGAAAAAATATTTATTTTTTATCTTAAAACTTTCAAATGTGTTCTCAAATTTCGATGTTGAAAAAATTTGGGCTACATCATTTTGATTAATATCTTGTTATAGAAACTGCAAAATAATAATATTAGAACATCCATAAAGCTATAAATCATTACAAATTTTTTCGAAAATAGTTAATTTTTTAATTTAGGCTTATGGTTAAGTTCATGGGAATTATTTAATTTTCGTAAACACAATGACAATTGACATTGGAAGTGTGACGTGTGTCTAAAAGAAATACAATATTGCCATGCCGTATCAATTATTACATGTCAATGGTCAATTTTACCTATGCCCTATGTTGTACTAGGCCAACAAATCGACTTCAGTATCAGAAAAAATGTAGAAAACTAACGATTTAAAAAATGTCAGTATGACGATCTTCCTCATATGCGTAATTACATAAAATAGGAAAAAATAAGCAAATATTAACTAATTTACCTTACTTATGCAGCCCGGAGTCACCACGGGTTGCTTCGCAAAAAAATATACATAAAATAAGAAAAATTAAACAAATTTAAACTAATTTACCTAACCTGTGCGGCCTGGAGTCACCACGAATTGCTTCGCGAAAAAATTATACATAAAATTAAAAAAAATAACAAAAGTAGTTTCGAGCTACACTTTATCGAATAAAACAATTTTCGAACTAAGATTTTTCGAAAAATAGTGTTTTCGAATTAACGGTTTTCGAACAAACATGTTTCGAACAAAATTCTTTCAACCCTCACTAGCGTCTGGCCAGTGAACCTGAATCCCAACTTTTAACGAACGTGTCTTTGTCGCGGGCATCTAATAATATACAATAAGAAGACAAGGCAACGACTTTTTGTAGGGTGGCGCTTCGCCGTCACCAAAATATTTTAACCTATACCTGGCTACGCTAACCGGCATAGACTCTAATGGCCTGGACACAACTCAAATTGAAAAAAAAAAGTATTTTTTACAAAAAATAGATAAGTTCCGACATGCCATAATTAACGCAAATCATGAAATAAAATAAAAAGACGGATATCTGTGATTACTACAAATGTTTTCACTTCGGGATTCAAGTTCACCTGCCGGCCAGATACTATGTAATTTTTCTGCTACGCTGTATCAATGAACTGCAATGATATAGAAGGCCTGAGATGTGACTTTGGGCGAAGACAGGTTATTTTTCATCTCACTCTGGAGTTTTTGTAATAACCATTTTCTATTTCACGTTGTTATTGTCTGAACCACTAGCTTGTGGACTAGTAATAATGTGAAAGAGAAAATGGTTATTACAAATACTCCCGAGTGAGATAAGCAATAGAAATGGCTGCTCCCATAGAGTCGCTTCTTGTTCTATTGATACAATATGCACATTGTCTTTATACCCCACTCCATTTTATTGCGCTGTATAGCCGGGAGCCATTTCCAAATAGCCAACTTTCATTAACCGAACTATTGCTTGTGGTATACGGAGAATGGTCGCACTGCGCAGCTTTCTGAGTGCCTTTTAAAAGGAGATAGAAAACTCCGCCATTTTGAACCCTTATTACGTGTTGCCTACATCTTGGCGCAATATTTTTAATAGGTGCGTTTTAATCATCCGCTTCTGCTTCGGAATTGTCGGTTTTCTTGTTTTAATCTGACAGGTTAGAACGACTGAACCGAAATTCCGGAAGCAGAAGCGGATGATTAAAACACACCAGATATTTTGTTTGCTGTTGTCAGTGTCAGTGAATATTATTTTTGGAGTCACAGTTTATTGCTAAAGAATCAGTTAGCTCACTCGGACCAGTTGAAAGTTCCAAAATAACATCCACTTCAGGGATACAAATTCAGGATACGCAGAAGACTGCTGTTTTATTATAGGCGGTTGTCATATATTGTATTATCTGAGTTGCGCAGTGTATAAACTGGAACATTGAGATAAAATGTGCCGACGCAAAGTGAGCAATCTGATTCTTTAGCTATAAACTGTGTCATAGGGTTCAAAATGGCCGCGCCCTATGTTGGGCGTGTCGGACCTCTCTCTTGCCCCGTATAGTAATCAAAGTATGTGGGTATACGTAATATAAACTAGAAATGTCAATTGTCATTAAAAATAATTTACTGTATTTTTTTCCAATAAACTTAAAAATGAAAAATAAGAAAATTTAATCGATTATGAAACAATTTGGTATGGTTTATTGCTCTATGAATGATCTAATATTGATATTTAGCCGTTTCTACAACAATAAATCAGTAAAAATCGTTTATTTCACTTTTTTATGGTAGAGACCGGACAAAAAATTTAAAGGATTTTAAGGGAAGAAAAAAAAAATTTATTGCAGCTGACCGAAAATTGTTTTGTATAGTGTGTTTCAAAGTGGCTAGAATATTTCTGTAAAATTTCAATAATAACATCCGCCGTTCGAGTGTCTGCGTATATTACCCACGGAACTATATATTTATAATGGAACGCTAATAACAATACATGCGCGTGGTATTTTTTGACCGCTTATGCTCTTGAAATTGATGGTAAATTATTTTGAACGGCATGTACTTTTGTTGTAAAACGTATTATTGAGTCTGCGCACTTCAAGATTTATTTCCATCATTTGACAGAGTTTTACAGAATAGGCGTCAGTGATTAGATCTCTGTTATTTTTCAACATTGTGGAATTTGTTTGTGTTAAATATTTTTTTATTTATTGTTTTAGTGGGTGTTTCTTTTTTGGTGGTTTCGAATTATATTTTAGTTGTTATATAGAGTATTGTAATATTTTACTCAGAACATTTAAGTGACTGAACGGACTTAACAGAATGGTGCGAAAATGTATGGTGCTTTTTTGTAATAACAAAAAGTCGCCGTTTTTTTTTGTAAGTATCCATTTAAATATAAATTAACGCAAATTGATATTTAGAGATCTTACTACAATTAATGCATAGTCTTCTGCACTTTTGTAACCGTATTTTAATCAGATGAACTGATACATAAATGTTTTTTTTACCATACAGTTTAACAAAGACCAGACACAATAGTTGGATGAGAGCCCTAGGGAGAAATCCAGACAGTGAAATGCTAACCAGTCACAATACAATTTGTAGTGCACATTTTACTGACTCTGATTTTGTTGTTTTAAAAAACAGAACATTGTTAAAAAGAGATGCTGTGCCTAGTATCAATTTGGGAATTCGTCAACCACTGTCGACTTGTACCAATATGATACCAAGGTATTAATATTTTCTTATATTTCTTACATTTAAAGTTAGCAATTGGTGGCAATTCTGTATATCAAATTACAAACTTATGAACATAATAAACAATAGTTACAAATGTTTTAAATAATTATATTTCCATTTTGTAACTCAGTCTAAATTAAATCAACATTGTTAATTTAAATTGTAATTTATCAATTGTAAATAAAAAATATAATTCATTAAAATTTTAGTTTTTGTTTTTAGACTAACTCTTTTATGATAGACGTAAATAAAGTTTAGTTTGTAACTTTCACAGAATATTCATTTAAAATTTTTATGATTTGAAAAATTCACCTGAGGCTTATGATGCAAACATATTCGTGGTGAGTGAGTGACATTACCATTTTTATTTTTAAATGAAAAATAAGAATCTATCAAAATTAAAGTGATTTAGAACATATTTATTGAAATAAACTAACATAATTAGCATTTATTTAAACATTAATTTCATTGATAATACATTCTTTAGCTTTCCTTAATTTCGTTTTAAAATTATGTATTGGCAAAACCGAACCTGTTCAAGTTCTTTAGTGCGCATGATTAGAATTGCTCTTTTAACGTGATGCGCGAATTCAAAGTGGTCAACTTTTAAATATAGGCTCTAGTGTTCCATTATAACTATATAGTTCAGTGATATTACCGGATCTTATAATGCAGCAATTGAAATTAATGTTATATAAAAAACACCAGCAAATCTTTGAAAAATTCTTAAAAAAACAAATATACAATTTTTACCTTGTTACTAACTGGAACAAACGTGATTTCTGTCCCGATTTTCTTAAAATGTTCGCAGCTCCTATTATTGCTTCGTGTTGATCCGGAGAAATTCTCAATGCTTTCCAAAAATAGACTATTGCTCTTTGGCCGTCATCTAAAGCAGAATTTATCCATATTTTTCCATAATTATCTTCGAACATATACTACTAGAGCCTTGTCCAAATGAACTTTGTTTTGGTACAGGGGGAAAAATAGGGTCCAGCTTCTCTTAGTCTGTTTTGATTTGCTTACATGTCAAATTTTCCGCAAATGTTACAACTGTCATTTTGATTTTGTTTTCATTATGATTTTATTAATATTTAATATTATACAATATTGTATTTTTTTACTATAGTGATTCAATTTTGCACAATTTAAAATAAATGGTAAATTTAGAGAGTAGTTTAGTAATCTATTGGACATTGCTTACAAATAATATTTTTATATTCAACAAATTATTACATTGTTAGAATAATTTTTCGTATCGTGATTCTGATATACGTGTGTTAATATAGCTATCATAAATATTCGTATAATATACCTACTATTTATTTATATTTAAGAATTTTAAATATAAATTCTTAGTTTTTTTAAGAATATCCTTCGTGAAGTTCATAAAAAAATGCGTTCGCAAACCACCCTAATCCGAAAGAAGCCCCCTCAATTTTTTATTATGATGACTTTCCTTTACCTAAAGTTGCAAAAGAAAATTTAAAAAATAGGAAAAACATCGAGGAAAACAATAAAACTGGAGCCTTATAACAAAATAAAAGGAATTCTAAAGAGATTGGACTAGAGTTCTAGTAAGTATATTATGTTAATTTTAAATTATTGTTGATAGATCTGACGGTAGAGTGGTGTCAGTGACGCCATTTTGTAAAATCAATCAAAAATATAGAAAAATCGATAATAAGTTTTTATGTTTTGGTATGCACCCACATGGGTTGCAGATAAAACACAAGGCATTCACTTGAATTGCCACGTTTGTTATGGTTTAACCAAAAAGAACTAAATTGTACAAGTATTGGTGTGCACTCATATGAGTTGCTGAAGAAACATCAGGCATTAACATGAATTGCCATCTTAGTTCATGGTCTAATAAAAACAAAAATGTACATAGGTAATTTATTGGCGAACACTGGCATGAGTTGCCAAGGTCAAATTATAAGTAGTATGCTCCCACAAGAGTTGCAAAAATCTAGCATTCACATGAATTGCCACATTCAAAATACTATCAGTATTGATATTATTTATAGTCATAATTTACCTTTTAGGGTGCTAAATAAGATTTGTTCTAACTACAGATGTTATTCGAAAAATTTTACATTAATGCATTGATAACGTATTTGAGGGAATTCCTCTATTTCCACACAACCTAAAGTACATTTACAGGTAGTGATTCTACATCCGATAGCAGCATCATATCCAATTCAGATAAACCCGCGAAAATGGAGCTTGCAAGCACAACCCAAGGTACAATTCATTTTCTAACTGAAGACCTAATTAGTTAAGAACTTGCTTGTATTTTTAGAAGTGGAGATACACCAACAGAGGTTTTTGGTCCTGAAATTCATACTGAGATCGCCATCGTCATTCTGGACTAGAACGTGAGGAGAAACCAAATCTGTTGGAGAAATATCTCCCAATCCAAAATTGTTCAGGGTTAACTTGGAAATTCATAAATGTATCACTAAAGCTAAGCTGAAGCAAGATAATTTCATACCAGCAATGGCAGTACCATTAAATATCTTCTTTTCTGAACTGAACGAGGAATCTAATGCTTGGCTCTCAGCAGTGGCAGATTCAGACGTCTATTAATTGATGCTTTTCATACGGTGTTCTTACATTGTCGATTTTTAATTGTTTTACAACTTAACCCGTCAGTCAAGATATCACTAGAAGAATCTCCTATAGGTGGATAGCTTTTTGGTAGTGTTATTAAAATTCTAAAAACTACTCAGAAAATGAAGAAAAATGTAAATGAATTAGGATTATGGAGAGAATACAGGACTGAGAGTTCCTCAGTGAATGTGAAGAAAAAGGAGGAGAAATTTTTCAGGAAGAGGATGAAAATAACGCCACCAGAGAAATTCAGGAAGATGGATCTCAACAGCCATCAGAATGGAAGGCCTTAGAGGTAAATGCCTTTGGCATAACATTACCAGTAATTATACAATATTAAATTGGATTCAAGGCATCCAAATTAATTTTAAAAACACCCCATTACAATATTTTCCTTCGAATTAGGTATTGTCAGACGAGAAACTTAAACTAGTTGATGCTGAATTAGAGAAAATGTTATAAACTCAGGTGCCACTATTTAGTGTAATCCTGCAGTTGGCCAATTTCTTTCCTCATACTTTTTAGCCAAAAAAATCGAGAAGTGGTTATTGTTTTATTTTGAATTTGAAATATTTAAATACATATATTGAACCTTCCCATTTTAAGATAGATGACTACCGTATTGTGTCAAGACCTATATTTAAAGTTTGCTATATGACCACAATAGACCTTAAAGAGGCCTATTTTCTTATTCCAATTCATAGTAAATTTAGAACATTTTTTAGATTTAATCAGAAAAATTGACCATCCACAGGCCTAGAACCCTTAGTGTCTTCTACATCGGCAAATACATAAGTTTTATAGTTGAGTTTCTAAATAAAGTTTTTGCAGAGAATAGCTCTTACTCTTCTGTAAACATTTAGAAATTAGCACTAAATTTGACAATAAAAAATAATTCTAAGTATAAAATGCTCCTAAAAGGCATTTTTCACTTAAGTTCCTCTCATCTGAAGTATTCTGACACATGGGACCCATACACAGTTCTAATGATTTTAGAAAATTGGTATCCATTAGAACAATTAACAATTCAAGAATTATTATATAAACTAGTTACATTGTAGCCTTAACGTGTGGGCATAGAATGCAAACGTTGTCCAAGATTAATCTATAAGATATTAAGAATAAGTTTGAGGACCGTATAGAGATTCCGATCCCCGATCAAATTATAACGTCAAGCAGGACTAGCTTACAATTACTTCTTACCTTCTATTACTTTTATGACAAACCGGCTCTGGTATAGCTTCTACAATTTTATTTTATATAGAATAGACCGAAAATATCTGACCTTCAGGTGAGTTCAGACTAGTTGTAACATGGACGAAACCAATTCATGCTCCACCTCTCAAACAATAAGTCGGTGGATAAAAATTGTATTAAAGAAAAGTGGTGTAGACACAGCTAGATATTTAAGTGCTTCTACTCGTCCTGCGTCAACATCTTCTGCCTTCCGAGGGGAAGCCCCAATTGAAGAAATTAAGAAAATCAGATACCTTTAATAGGTTCTATAAGAAACCGGTATTTTCAGAATCTAATTCTATTTATAAATTGTTAGTTGTTTATATTTTGAGATAACTTAGTTACACGTTGGAATTTCTTATAATAAATTAAGATTAATTATATTTCATCTAAATAATCAAACTCTGATTGTTACTAAAGAACCCCGCACAAATCTTATGGAAATTGGCTCCCGGTCAAATTGGCAGAAATTTGGATATGTTATTCGTTTCGGCATCCTGAGCAAAAGTCTCAATGGGCACAAAGCTCAATTTTGTTTATCTTGGATCCTACGGAGCTCCAAAGCTCCACGGATTGACCATTATTTACTACTTAAAGAGGCAATCTCCTCGAAAGTTTAGTATTTGCTGTGTAAAAAAAGAAGTACCTTCTTATCTTTTCGGGGTCGCTGCATTCAAATCCAATGCCAATATAATAATATTGACAGTTGACAGCTTTAAACTACCTGTCAAACTACAAACAATAATCAAAATTGAAAAATCCACATGTAAATATCTGTTTTTGAGGCAGCTGAGTTCAAAAATGATATTAACAACTTAATATTGACAGTTGACAGCTGTCAACTAACTGTCAAACAGTATGTGACAATCAAAATTGACAAAATTCAGGAGTAAATAGATGTCCTCGAGGTTGCTGAGTTCAAAATTGATGTCAAAAAGACGATATTGACAGTAATCAGCTGTCAACTAACTGTCAAACAGCATGTGACAATCAAAATTAATAAAATTCACATGTAAACGTATGTTTTTGAGATCGCTAAAGTCAAAACTGAAGGTAAGAAAAACGATATTTTAAAAACAAGTGAAGCTTGCTTGCTGCCACCTCATTGTTCCTCTATCTTGACACATTATCATGCACAGTCAAATATTTAATTAACGATAGTACTCAACTGTCAATATCGCCTTTTTGGCATCAGATTACAATTAGGCAACCTTAAAGACATACGTCTACATCTCAATTTTATCAATTTCAATTGTTACATACTGTTTGATAGTTAGTTGACAGATGTCAACTGTCAATATCCAGTTGTTAAGATCAGTTTTGAACTTACCAACATAGAAAATAGATATTTACATGTGAATTTTATCAATTTTGATTAATGCTTGTGGCTTGACAGTTATTTGACAGCTGTAAAATGTAAATATTGATTTTTTACCATCAGTTCTGAACTCAGCAACCTCGAAGACATATTTACATATGGATTTTATCAATTTTGATTGTCACATACTGTTTGACAGTTAGTTGACAGCTGAACTGTCAATATCGTCTTTTTGACATAAGTTTTTTTTTTGGTGTCATCGGCATCAACTGCTACGGTTATTAGCCTCGTGTTCTGTGTAGGCTTTGTTACTGTTTCCCAGCGCCACTTTAGGAACAGCACTGTTAATTAGTACCCAACAGTGAATGGTCGAGTGAACTCAGCAACCTCAAAAACATCTATTTACTCCTGAATTTTGTCAATTTTGATTGTCACATACTGTTTGACAGTTAGTTGACCGCTGTCAACTGTCAATATCGAGTTATCAGTTTTGAACTTACCAACCTCAAAAACAGATATTTAGAAGTGGATTTTATCAATTTTGATTATTGCTTGTTGTCTGACAGCTAGTTGACAGCTGTCAATTGGCAATATTGTATTGGCATTGGATTTGAATGCAGCGACCCCGAAAACATAAGAAGGTACTTCTTTTTAACGCAGCAAATACTAAACTTTCGAGGAGATTGCCTTTTTAAATAGTAAATAATGGTCAATTCGTG